ACCTGGTACTGTTTTAAATTCAAAGATTAACTAGGTCTATGAAAATTTTGATCGAGAAACTGCAATAGTCGTAAAGAACCCTGTGTTTAACCGAACATGTCTAAGCCGTCGAGACCTTTTAAAATGGCGAAGAAGCCTGGTACCTACAGTGGTGACAATAAGGCTAAGCACCCACTCATTGAAGAACGTAATAGGCCTACCCACTCCGATGACGTAACAATTATCAACAGTCAGCCTGGAAACGGTCAAAGCGATTACGTAACACTCAAACAAAAGGACGAAAGTATTCCAAGCGTAAAGCCTATATTCTTTAAAGACAGTGACGTGCGAGAGCCAGGAGATGATTATTTAAGTGAAGAAATCATATATTTTGCTTTGAGTGAAATAATTAATGGGAACAATCTGGTAGGGATACAAAAAATTAAAAATTTATGGAGGATCTACATCAGTAACCATGGAGACAGAGTGAATATCCTGACTGCCGGTCTTAACCTAAATGGAAAAAACGTGACTGTACATGACACGAACCCATATCTCGCTTCGAATAATGGTGTGCGTGTACTGGTGAAGGATTTACCTATCTCTGCACAACGATGAGATCAAGAACTGCTTAAAACACTTTGGTTGCAAAATAATTGGTAACATTCAATTTGTAAAGTTTCGCATAAAAGGAAAGCTATCCAGATTTGTTAACGGAGATAGGGCAGTGATTGTTGAATCGTTCAAAGGTAGACCAAGACTAACGATGATCAACGGCTTCAGAGTTCGACTCTTTCATAAGGATCAATTTGATGCACAGAAATGCTTTCGGTGCAATGAAGCGGGGCACAAAGCCAATAAATGCCCAAAAAACATCCCCTATGAATGCCATAGATGCGGAAAGGAAGGGCATATTGCAAGATCCTGCACGGAAGACCTAAATCATACAGAAAATAGTGAGCCTTTAGCCGCCGTTGACAGGTCTAACGTATCAGACAAGATACAGAATGCCTTCAATGAAGAAGACGAAGAGAATATCAGTACTACGCTATTTCGGCAAACATCGGGCGAGAAATATATTCAAAAGATGTGGAAAAACATGGTTGAAAAGAAAAGTCAAGACAAAGAAAAATTAAAATGGAGTGAGTCAAGCGATAACGAATGTTCTGCTGAAGATGATAACATCGAAGATGTAAACTCCTGCAAAGAGAGCTTCGATGGTGATGATGACGTAACAGACAAAGATACCGTCCAAGCAGCAAAAACGCAAAACATGACAACAGTAACACGCAAACAAGAATCACCACATTTATAAAGCCAGCTCTCTAATGCCCAGATGCCACAGTACATCACAAAGAACAGGCTAGAGAAAATGAGAGCGGAATGGTTAAAGAATGTGATGTAATAGTTAGCCCGAAAAGCCCCGAACGTAAACGTAAAAAGAAAAGAAAGAGAGTGCGAAGCAAGTCAACCTAAGTCTATCGAGCGTATCCTTTTATACGGAACGGCATTTGTTTGTAATTAATACTATACTCAGATTACTGTGATATTATTCCCTTATTTAATGTCTATATTACATTGTGTTTCATTAAATGTTAGAGGCTTAAGAAATAATGATAAGCAAAGTAAGATAATAAATTGGTGTAATGACCAGAAAGCTAATGTAGTACTCTTGCAAGAAACGCACTTTACGCCTGACGTTATAAATAGATTTAATAAGTTATGGAAAGGTACTAGCATTCACAGTTTCGGAACATCAAATAGTGCAGGTGTTTCAATTCTATTTAAAGATGAGTGTGCCTTTTATGACATCATTGAATGCATTGATAGAAATGGAAGGTTTGCAATTCTAAAAGTAAAATTAAATGGTAAACCATTAACGTTCGTTAATGTTTATGCGCCGAACAATTACAAAATAAGAAGTGTATTGTTTTTGGGAGTTAAACAAAACGATAATGAAATACGTTGATTTAGATAGTGAGAAAATTATCGTAGGCGGTGATTTTAACTGTATCTTAGACCAAAAAATAGGTCAGAAAAATAGCTCCAGCAGAAAAGATACATCAGTGTACACAATAAAGCATTTCATGAAAATACTAAACTTGAAGGATGCATGGAGATACAAAAATCCAAATAAAATACAATTTACATGGCGGAGAAAATGTAAAGAAATCTATAGGAGGCTTGATTACTGGATTATTTCAAAAAGTATTTTAGATCACGATAGAATCAAATCATGTGACATAAGACCTGCGATACTAACGGATCATCAGGCAATTTCCATTAAAATTTATTTTATTGAATTAAAAAAAGGTCCAAGTTATTGGAAATTAAACAATGATTTGTTAAAAAATATTGAATATCAAAACGCTATTCGAAAAATGATTATACAAACACAAAAAAATGAATACAATCTTAACCCGGAGTTATTATGGGAGCTAATTAAAGTCAAAATTAAAGACATGTCAATTGTGTATGGTAACAAAATAAATAAAGAAAAAACAAAACAAAAAGAAAACTTACAAAACGAAAAAATATTAAACGATGCCTTAATAATTGGCGATTCTAAAGAGAATATAGAAACAGAAATTGAAATAAAGCAAAAACAGTTAGAACAAATTTATGATAAGGAAACAAAAGGTGCATACGTACGTTCACGAGTAAAGTGGATCGAAGAAGGTGAACGCAGCACCAAATATTTTCTTAGCTTAGAAAAAAATAATGGAAATAAAAAAGTTATTAAAAGTTTACAAAAATTAAATGGTGAAGGAATAACAAACTCAAAAGACATTCTTCAAGAAGAGGTTAGCTTTTATGAACAGCTTTATGAAAATAAGGGGATTCCCCTTAGCGATATAAATACCTATCTAAATGAAACAGATATACCTTGTCTAACAGAAGAAGAAAAAATGTTCTGTGAGGGTACTATTACTTTACAAGAGTGCGATACAGCAATACAAAAAATGAAATTAAATAAAGCCCCAGGGTGTGATGGTTTGACAGCAGAGTTCTATAAATATTTTTGGGAAGACATTAAACAATGTGTTTGTAGCGCAATAAATTATAGTTATTTTAAAAACGAAATGAGCAACACGCAAAAACGTGGTGTAATTAATCTACTATATAAAAAAGGTGACAAACAATTGCTAGAAAATTGGAGGCCTATCACCCTACTCAATACAGACTACAAAATGTTAACGCACATCCTATGTTCAAGACTCCAGAAAGTAATTTCACTCCTTGTAAACGATGACCAAAAAGGTTATATTAAAGGTCGATTCTCAGGTGAAAATATTCGTCTAATCAATGATATTCTTTATTATACTGAAGAGAAGGAAATAGAAGGTTGCATTTTGTCCCTTGACTTCAGAAAAGCGTTTGACTCAGTGAGTAGAGAATTTATGTTAAGTTTATTAAGAAAATTGAATTTTGGAGAATCATTTTGTAAATGGGTGAAAACACTGTATAATAACACCGATTGCATTATTGTTAATAATGGATGGATATCGAAGAGCTTTAAGATGAAAAGTGGAATAAGACAAGGTTGTCCTCTGTCTGCACTATTATTTATCCTCACTACTGAAGTAATGGCTTGTAATATAAGAAACGACATCAATTACAAGGGAATACCAGTACCAAGCCGGAATAATACCGGCAGTGAAGAGGTGCGTATTGCTCAGCTTGCTGATGACACGGTGTTGTTTGCTGGAAGTAACAATAGTATAGATATAGGTGTGAATATTGTTAAGGAATTTTGTAAAGTGTCCGGCATGAGTCTTAATGAACATAAAACTAATGCTATGTGGATAGGTAATAATAGAAATAAAACCGAAAAGCCTGGTAGCTTAAATTGGGTAAATAAACCAATTAAGATATTAGGTATTTATATTGGATACGACAGCAAAT